CATTCGCATCCGATCTGTATCTGATATACAAACTCTCGCCTTCGGCTCGAGTTTGTATATCAGATACAGATCGGCTGCTCATGTTTTATCTAGTACTTATTAATAAGGAGGATATGAACAACCTGCAGTAAACGCAATTAATAATATGATTTGATGATATATATACGCCATGCAGGTGTTTACATATAACATCTGCGAAACAAACAAGTGAATTTTATACGAACTAGATTTTTTTCAACAGGTGCAGTGTGACACAAATGACAAATTTGTATCTAATTAGATTATTTTTTGTATAATTAGTGGCGCACTATTTACGAAGCTGCATTATTCATGTATTCCACTTAGTATTGCGTGATTGCAGCAGATAATGTCGCCAGATGTCATTATTTAAATTTGCGGAAATACAGTTAAGTGAACTCTTATATCCCCTAGTTCAGGGGATATAAGAGAAATACAGCTAAAATACAGCTAAAAATTATTATTTAATTAACTTGTCATTATGATTATAGTAGCAGGTCTTAGTCAGTGAAGTCCATTTCTTTTTATCTGGAATGATAACCTGCGGGGGAAAAGTGAAGCCAAAAATAACATGCAACGTCACTTCACGCCACTGCTACGTATGCCGCAAAAGCCAATATAGACCTTAAAAGTGCCTACGTCAGCAATTTTTAATACACAGTACTTCTGTGATGCACAGTGCGTTGTGGCAAATTAAGGTTATCACATTACTCGATCGAGTCGAACTATCAAAGAATGTTTTGTCTTATACGACTTTTACCAGTGAACTCAAAATAAAAATTAGTGAACCAAATTAAAAAAAGCCTAAATATATTTTATTAAAACTGTGGCCGGTTGTACGAAATGGGGATAAATCGCTATCCGGTGGATAAGTCGCTATCCGGTGGATAAATTTTATCCAGAGTGAAAATCGCGTTGTACGAAATTTGGATAACGTTAGCCAACCGGATTTCACTATTGATTGTTAGAACAAAAAATTACTTGCTTTCAAAGCCAAATACATATACATATAAATTGAGCCAGACGCCGATATATTGAACTAGGAGAAACAATATAGAACTATCGGAGAAACTGCGGTATTGATAAATTAACTCCTGCACGATGTTTTGCCGTGTGGCTGATATTTCGAGCTTTGGTCACTTTGGTGGGGCTGTCATCATTCAGAGCAAGCTCAAACGGTCGGTGCCAATACAATGAAAGTAGCGACGATATAGGAAGACAGCTGCGCGGATTGCTCTGAAAAATATAACAGAACTTCGACATTTCGAGCGAAGGCAGAAAGTTAGTAGCCAAAACTACGCTATTGTGCTATAATAACGTTTAAATATAGGGCTATTATGAAATCGAAATCACAAAAAACCGGAACCGTTAGTACGAATGATCATGCATGCGAAGGGATTCCGAAGTTCCTGTGCGTACATCCACACACATGCTCACCGTGTGATGACAAACATTATTATCTAGTATTGAACACGTTCCGCACGAAATATAAGCTACTGAAAAAATCTTTATCCGGTGTCCTTTGAAAATCTTTTAAATTAAAAAACGTTGAAAGTAACTTCGAGAGAATCAATGAACATTGATGCATGAAATAAATGCCAGTAGAAGTACTCTGTCAGACAAAAATGGACAAATATTGGTAATCTGACTGGTTTATATAGAGGGATTTCATTTGACGTAACAAGAAAGTAACACATACGAAAACCAACTATTTGCTTATTATTTTATATATTTCTGTTCTATGACTATATATGATCATTACACCGAGTATTTTCAAAAATAGAGCCGGTTTTTAGTATTTTGCTTGATATTATAAAAAGGGCTAGCTCATTATTAAAGCTACCATCACAAACATAATTAGCCTATAGTGATGCATTTCAAGACATTTTTCGAAACTGCGCGCATTTGTAGAGAACTCGGAACACAGATTGGCAACACCCTGTTTTAAAACTTCGAAGAACATTTTGTTTCTGTAGAATTAGAAAATGGGATTGCGCGATCGGCAATATTTGATCGGATCAGATTTAGCCATTTTTGTCGCAATTTACATGCAATGAGAAATTAAGGGTATATCGTTTGTGATTTGACAACCAAAGACGTTGATCTTTAGTGAAACGAAAAGCGTAAATCATTAACTCAGTACACGAGATCACATCGGCTAAAATTAAGTTATCTTTATTTATACACCATGTAAATTTCTTCAATAATTGCTCATTATTACTCGTTACGCAACGGATCCCACAAGTGGATCCCACAAGTGGATCCCACAAGTGGATCCCACAAACTGAAAGAGGCCTTTTACGAACACAGTCTAGATCATTAAACAGGGGAAGTTAGCTTGATAAATGGCAAACGTATAAAGCATCCATGTCGTATGCGTGCCCGCATTTGTGTCTTGAGTCGTGACAAGGTATACCATTGATTAACCGGCGCCAACGATTTAAGCTAGACGTTCATCTTCGATGGCAAAGCTTTTGATATTAGCGTTCCTGTCAGTATTTTTAACAGCGCAAATGTAAGTTTCAATATTGTATATATATTGTATTAGTTTTCATAATAAGAATAGTAATTAACTATATTTTTACAGATGGATTTTATATATGGAATTTTCGAGTGTGAGATTTATACATTTATTATAGGCCTACAAGGCTATAACCGGGAGCAGTTGCGAAAAATGCAACTATATTATAGACCCTCTGGCAGTAATCGAACCTGCATGCGGCCCTGCAATTCCGGTGTAGCTCTAACCATGCAACTGAGCTACAGAGGCCATGCATGCAGTTGTGTAGCTCTAACCGCATGTTCAATTAGGTGTATGGGCAGTCAAATCCATCTTGCATGCAATTGCAATTAGTTATATCGAGTGTATAGACGCCTAAAATTCTGATATTTTTACAGGTTAGCTTGCTCAGCTGTACTAAGCTCAAGGACCTGTGTTAATAATACATGCACTTTATATGTACAGAAAAACAGTGGCAGTTTGTTGTTATCCCAATGGCCGGGTGCTTTTCCATGGGAGAGCTTTTGAAAGTAGCCGCCATAGCGGGCCAAGCCATGCACGTTTAAGCATTTTAAGTATGTCTATATTAAACAAGCTCTATTTCGAATATATTTTCCGGCCTTGTCCAATTATTTTGGATGTTATTCGATAAGCAATTTTGAAGGGTTTTTTTCTTGTACTTTCTGTCAATTGTTTCATCAAATTGTTCCATTGCAAATCAGCTTGAATAGCTAAATTTATTTTATTAAACTTTTAATATTATATACGCGTCTTACACTAGTCACATCGTTCATTTGGAATTCGGGAAGTCTGTCATTAAGGGCGCATATGACTTATGTCATCAGTATCACGGAGCACAACTACGGTGAAAGGGTCGGTTTGGAGGTAATCCCATCCCACTCTGCCAATATTTCCATGTAGGAGGAAACCCCAGTGGTCTGAGTCACGAAGAAAACCCACGACTTTTTACGACGAACAGAAATTAAACACCAAAATGATCATGTCGCTGGGCATTCATTGCATAACAATGTGGCCGCGTTCCGTCAAAAATTTTCCCGCTCTTTTTCTTTTGCTTTATTTCGAATTATTTGTGGCAAAATAAGGCCCACATTACAAGCTTAAATGGTTCTTAATTAATTATGCTTGAGTCACTTAATATTTTCTTGGGCCTTTACCCTTGTCTTATTATCGATATTCTACCAATAAATCAAAAACTTTGCCGACAATTTATTAGCAGTTTTCCTCATTAATATTCAGTACACGTCAGCATGTACATGTTCAGTTAAGATGACCTACCTTACCTACCTACCTACCTACTTGCCTGTCTGCTTGCCTGCCTGCCATCTATCTATCTATCTATCTATCTATCTATCTATCTATCTATCTATCTATCTATCTATCTATCTATCTATCTATCTATCTATCTATCTATATCTACTGTATGATAGCTGCAAGTTATATGTTCCTGTGCTCCAAAGCGGTCTCTTTTCTTTACAAGTTATATGATCCGTGTAAAAAAAACAATCTTAATAGGGACGTTTTATAGGAGGGACGATATACGCGGTCAAATATATCCTGAATTTTTAAATTTCGTTTTTTACCTTACCTAAAAGCAGTGTTTGAAATTTATATGTGTGGTTTTTTCGGCAGTAGAATATATATTGGCATAATGGATACGGGACAAAATCTACTAGGGGGGTTTATTGGAATGCTGCTCCAAGAAAAGTTTGAACATTCAGGGCCTCATGCAGAGAGCCGGAAATGCAACAAAATTTTCCATTTATAGCCGATTGCATTTGCTTTTAACTTGCAAGTTTGCCTGTTAGTGCTCGTCTAATTTAATACTTGAAAATCAGTTCAAATCACTTCTAAATTTACCTGAAGTCACTCATGACCAATTTTTTGGGGGCACCCCCCCCCCCTGTCACTATACCGCCCTGTTTTCGGGAAATATTCATAAACATTCATTTCTTATTCAGACTATAGACCTATAGAATTTGTTCCGGTGTCTACATTTTGACAATAGTTCATTTCTAAAGTTCAAGGAGCTGAGTTTAGGATAATAAATAATTAGAAATTTTTCGTGCAGGCATAAGTTGCATCGTTTGGTTTTGTTTCAGTAGCTTTTACACTTTTTCATAATTCTCCATTTAATGGAGTATTTTACGCTAGACTCTTTCAAATGCCAGACATATTTACCTTAGTTCAGTAGCATGTTTGTATCTGGAGTTTCTGAAGGAACTGGTGTGACCATTGTACCTTGTTTTGAATTCCCCTTCTGTGTGTCCTACATAGGTCTTTTCCTCTTTTGTATCGTTTCTAGTCACAGTTGCTTGATAAACAATGCTGCTTGTTAAGCATTTACTGGAGAGAGGACAGGAATCTTTCTTACGGCAATTGCACCGACTACTCTTTTCAGACGCTTGATTCTTAGTTGTTTCAGTTTTGTCTTGTTTGTTGAGTACTTTCTTGTTATGACCAGAGACAATACAATGAACGTTACGCATGCAGCTGTAGCTTAATTTCAAAGTGTTTTGATTAAATATCTTGTGTAGAGGGTGGTTAGGAGGAAAGGAATCGTCGATAGCTTGAAGAAACTTGTATCCAATGTTGGTGATGACATTGGAGTTGTATGGGGGGTTGAACCATATTATATTTCTGCTTCTAGATCGTTTAGGTTTGGGTGGTTGGGGATTGTAATCAAGCTTGTAGTCGTAACCGCTTTTTTGTAGTGCTTCTTGATATGCGGGAATGGCGGAATCAAATGATTGCTTATCGGATGATATGTTGGATAGTCTATTGTTTATGGCTTGCGGTATTGATCGTAATATTGATGGTGGGTGGTTACTTTCGTGGTTTACGTATTGCGGTGTGTTTCCGGGTTTCATGTAAGGCTTGTATGATGCGGATCGTAGGTCAAGTGTGATGTCTAGGTAGTTGACGCATTTCTTGTTTGCTTCGATAGTAAATTTTAGGTTGTGATCACTGAAGACTTTGCAAATGTGTTTTTTGATGTTCTCTGTTTCTCTCGGTGTTTTTGTTAAATGCTGCAAGACCGTCATCTCTGTAGAGGCCGATATCATTGCCGTACTCTGGTGCAAGCTTTGACAGAAGATATGAGCCTACTAACTCACGTGTTTCGGCACCATCAAAGCTTCCCATTGTAACGTCAAAGAGTGATTTTGTCGTTTTCTTGCACCAAGTTGTATTTCTGCTAAAAATTAGTGATCTTTTTGCTTGCATGATGATCTTTTTCTCGTTGTCGGTTATAGTATCGTATTGCGAAGCGAACGTTATGGCGTATACTAACGTAAACTTGTCAAACATTTTATGGAATTAGTTTCAGTTTGGTCGCATGCTAGAACTGCGCATTTTTTTATACCCGGTATAATTGTTGCGTCGTGGTGATTCAAAATTCTTGCAACGAACGCGTCCAAAATCATGGGGTAAACATTTATGAGTATAGAATCCAATGCTATCAATACTACAAATGTTGGGGGCTTAAATAAGATGAAAAATAAATAACTTTTTCATCCTGCATAATAATTAAATTAAACATAAATATAATAATCATAATATAATACACTCGTATTTTCGTGACTCTATTGGCGATCCGTTTCTCGCATGATTTCACAGGCTTGAAACTTGACGCAAATGTGACGACAATGATAAGAGAGATAGGATGTAATTAGTGCTGGATCATAGTTATCTACTTATCTTGGAAGGCCGGAAATTTAGTTCCTTGCGGTTTTAATTAAAGTTCGGAGCTTTGTCGAACTTTGTGACGGTGTTGAAGCTGTGCAGTATTTTTTTACATCAACTTTCTCTATATTCCATGCATGTAGTTGCATGAATGTTTCTTTCCCTAAATGCTAGCGCTTGCATGAATGTTTTTCAAATTTCACTCAACTGCATGATTATTCTTTAGGATCCGCCCCCCCCCCGGGTTATATGTTGCAGGTGCTAGAATAAACGTCGTGATTTCGGAAAACCTCGGATCGATGATTCTCTCATTTTTTGTTACCACATTTAAAGGCATAGTGTCACATGTACGCTATCGCCTGTATTCGAAAAGCTCACTACTCACATGCACTCAAAGGTTCAAAGTGGAGGTTCGATCTGAGCTTCCCATGGCTGTCAATGCTGTATTTGAATAGCTCCCTAACCCTCCAGCTATTCAAAAACAGCACTGACACTCAATGGAAGCTCCACTCTTTGAGTATGAATGTGAGTGAGCTTTTAGAATACACCAAGACGTAGGCTATGTCACCTACTGAGCAATCGATGTAATTTTATGTTGTGCCGAAAATATGACAATAACGTGTTTTGATATTATTTATCATGACCAAAATTCAAGTTATTTTTTAAAGTTATATACTTTCGTCACTTCTTTTGCCCGAATACGAAGAACTTGAAGATCGTTTTCAAGTTCCACACCGACTAAATCACATTACTTCTGGCACAGGTGATACTGTGCGTTTATCAAATGCAAGGCGATTACATGCATTCAAATCGACTTCCGAATGAATTTATATGCGGACTTAGTTTTCACTGCATGGCAAAATATCCAGCTCGCCTAACCGAAACATCAGATCATGGGTTCATCATTCTTATATAGAATTTCAATCACTACAATCGTTCCCTATTAACGGACACCCCTCTTAAGAGGGCCCCCCTCCTAAAACACTATTGACATTCATTGCCACTTTTAAGCGCACACCTCCATTCAGCAGAAGCGGACACTTAACCTGAGGACCCAATGAGACGAATGTCCGCAAACAAACTTACGCAGACAAACGTAACTGATGAACGTAAATATGTTTAAATTAATGAAATTTTCATAATAATCAACAGTAAAAATAAGAGAATTCACTACACATATATTTATTATTAGTATCATGTTAGTACATGTAAAGATTTGTCCTGATTTACATAAACTTCAGCTTTGATTTTCTCGGCTTAGACAATGTTTATTTTCAAAATTACTTTGCCAATGAACTCATAAGATGGGTCATTTTGTAAGTACGATAAAACATTCGCATCCGATCTGTATCTGATATACAAACTCTCGCCTTCGGCTCGAGTTTGTATATCAGATACAGATCGGCTGCTCATGTTTTATCTAGTACTTATTAATAAGGAGGATATGAACAACCTGCAGTAAACGCAATTAATAATATGATTTGATGATATATATACGCCATGCAGGTGTTTACATATAACATCTGCGAAACAAACAAGTGAATTTTATACGAACTAGATTTTTTTCAACAGGTGCAGTGTGACACAAATGACAAATTTGTATCTAATTAGATTATTTTTTGTATAATTAGTGGCGCACTATTTACGAAGCTGCATTATTCATGTATTCCACTTAGTATTGCGTGATTGCAGCAGATAATGTCGCCAGATGTCATTATTTAAATTTGCGGAAATACAGTTAAGTGAACTCTTATATCCCCTAGTTCAGGGGATATAAGAGAAATACAGCTAAAATACAGCTAAAAATTATTATTTAATTAACTTGTCATTATGATTATAGTAGCAGGTCTTAGTCAGTGAAGTCCATTTCTTTTTATCTGGAATGATAACCTGCGGGGGAAAAGTGAAGCCAAAAATAACATGCCAACGTCACTTCACGCCACTGCTACGTATGCCGCAAAAGCCAATATAGACCTTAAAAGTGCCTACGTCAGCAATTTTTAATACACAGTACTTCTGTGATGCACAGTGCGTTGTGGCAAATTAAGGTTATCACATTACTCGATCGAGTCGAACTATCAAAGAATGTTTTGTCTTATACGACTTTTACCAGTGAACTCAAAATAAAAATTAGTGAACCAAATTAAAAAAAGCCTAAATATATTTTATTAAAACTGTGGCCGGTTGTACGAAATGGGGATAAATCGCTATCCGGTGGATAAGTCGCTATCCGGTGGATAAATTTTATCCAGAGTGAAAATCGCGTTGTACGAAATTTGGATAACGCTAGCCAACCGGATTTCACTATTGATTGTTAGAACAAAAAATTACTTGCTTTCAAAGCCAAATACATATACATATAAATAGATAGCCAGACGCCGATATATTGAACTAGGAGAAACAATATCGAACTATCGGAGAAACTGCGGTATTGATAAATTAACTCCTGCACGATGTTTTGCCGTGTGGCTGATATTTCGAGCTTTGGTCACTTTGGTGGGGCTGTCATCATTCAGAGCAAGCTCAAACGGTCGGTGCCAATACAATGAAAGTAGCGACGATAGAGGAAGACAGCTGCGCGGATTGCTCTGAAAAATATAACAAAACTTCGACATTTCGAGCGAAGGCAGAAAGTTAGTAGCCAAAACTACGCTATTGTGCTATAATAACGTTTAAATATAGGGCTATTATGAAATCGAAATCACAAAAAACCGGACCATTAGTGCGAATGATCATGCATGCGAAGGGATTCCGAAGTTCCTGTGCGTACATCCACACACATGCTCACCGTGTGATGATAAACATTATTATCTAGTATTGAACACGTTCCGCACGAAATATAAGCTACTGAAAAAATCTTTATCCTGTGTCCTTTGAAAATCGTTTAAAAAACGTTGAAAGTAACTTCGAGAGAATCAATGAACATTGATGCATGAAATAAATGCCAGTAGAAGTACTCTGTCAGACAAAAATGGACAAATATTGGTAATCTGACTGGTTTATATAGAG